GCCATCACGCCTACGCCTCCTCCGCGCATTTCCAAGGCCCCCAGAGAAGCCGGGTCTAAAGCAGGCCGGCAGCACGCGGTTCAGAGGGCTTTACACACCCATCCACGCGCCGATGGGACACTGCCTGCTCTGTCCCCAGGGAGCAGCAGTCCTTGACAGTGCGCACGTGAAAATGAGCTATAAACAGGAGGGAAAGGAATGCCCTGAATTTAGCAACCGGCGGGGGGGCAGGGGGTGAGGAGGGGGGCAGAGGGAAGGGGTATCTTTGCTGAAGAACAGCACAGAAGCGCGTAGCCGCCCGTGAAAGCTGCCCCACGCGTGCGGTCTCCCAGACCAGGCACCTTCCGCTCCGAGGAAGCTACGGGAGGCAGGAAAGCCCCACCAACGGTGCATGTCTGTGAGACTAAATTCAGAAATACTGAGGACTGCTTCCCGGGTAACGGGTGCTCGTTGAAGAGCGGAGCACCCAGCAGCAGCCGTGAGCAAGAGCCACGAGGGAGAGTCCCCCCAGACCAGGGAAAGATGGCAAGAACAAGCCAGCATGGCTGTACTGATAAATAACCTGTTTAATAGTTTCACCCAAACATTCTAGCATTACAGGGGTAAACAAAGTGCAAATTTTCAGAAAGTCAACAGAACCCAAACTTGTTAAACAAACCCTTTTCACAGAACACAAGAGTTTTCAGTTTTATCCCCTTCATGTCTTCAAGGCCATGTAGTAGTTATGTTTCGCTTTCAAGCTTGTTACGTATTTTATTGCTAAAGAATCTGAGCTGCTACGTGTCAGAAGTGGTGATCAATCGTACTTTCAAAATTCCACAAGACTTTGAGACACAAAATCATGAATCCATAAATCGGTATCTGGAAGAGACGTGTCCACTAGAAAAGTCACTATTTTTCGATCCCAAGAGTTAGTGCTCTCGTGAACTGACTCTATCTGTGCCACCAAGGGTTTCTTCTCTACAAGATTCCGGAACACTATTGATGCCTCTTCTGACCACTGCTGGCTTTTCACTCCTGGAACAAACGCAGAGCACAACAGACGGTCACTTTCAGGCTGGGTCTCTGCATGATTAAGCTTATACAGCAGTGGGGAGAGTTTAAGCACGTGAGAAAACAGGTATTCAGGTGCCACTGAATGCAGCTTAACTCTGAACAAGAAACACAAGCTCACCTATCTCCCACACAAACAAGATTAATTGCTACGGAGACTAGGATATTATTTTTTTACTGAAGTCCGAAGATACGGACAACTTTGCAGAAGTGAAAGGCAAATTCATCAACTCACTGAGCAATTAAAAACGCTCGTTAAATTAAAAAGCTGCCATGCATGACCAAGGCACGTGAGGAAACACGACAGAAAGGAAACTAAAGATCCCTTCCAAACAACTGCTTCCTTGTCTTCCGCCTGAAGCTGCTGAAATCGCTTGTCCTGTTGGCCTCGCTTCAGGTTGAGCTCTCTTCACCTCCGAGCAGCATCAGCTGCTAAAAGATCTGCCAAGCCTTCACGTCCCAGACTGGATCTGCAGAGCAGACGTGAGGAGCAACGCTGCCGAAACACCTCCCAGCTGCTGCTGTCTGGGGTTTTACTGAGAGCGAGCAGCATCCCACCAGGTCACGCCTGCTTGGGGGTGCGGCGCCGGAACCCAAACAGGTGTTGGCGCATGGCTGTAGCCCACCAGGAGAGGAGTGGCTCCCGCAGACTCCGAATTTAACGTCCCCAGGCCACAGCTGGTGTACAGCATCTAGAGGTGAGGGGCTCGAGCACCGTGCACGAACACCCCACCGACAACTGAGGGCAGAAGCGGCAGGCCGGGAAAGGGGCAGCGCTTGGCTGTTGGCCTTGGCAGCAGCTTGCTGCCGACAGGACAGGACGACGGGGGAACACAGCTCCGTGCAGGCTACAGGAGGAACGAGAAGCCAACAGTTCATCAGCAGTTAAGAAAGGGTAATTAATGCTAGGACAGGCTGGGGGGGGGGATGGTGGGGAAGCAAGTGGGATTTTACAAGGGAGTACAGACGGAGAGGTAGCAGACATGGAAAAATGAGAGAAAGAAGTGGAATAGCAAGGCAATAGTTACCAGTCTTCCGGGTCAGCTGGCCTGCTTTGACAATAGGAAGCAGCTCAGAGGCCAGCTTAACTATCTACGTGGGGTTCTGTGAAGCAGGAAAACTGGATGACTTGCAGGCTTGCTCAGCTGGGTCCTGTACTACCCCGGCAGACAGACTCAGCTAGAAATCAGCTTCATGTCAGCACTGCACTCCTAGGAGCCCAGCCTGTCGGCACCACATCCACCAGCACTCGATTAAAGCAACCCCGGGGTCGCACTGCGGCTATGCAGGAAGGCAGGTCCGCAGGAGGCAACCTAGGATCAGAGCACCGACTCCGTGGCCTGCCACTGCATTCCGTAACTGGAGTCTAGACTAGTGCGGACCAAACAGCGGCAGAAAGCGGCAACTGAGTAAGAAGAGACGCATACATCTGAAAGCAATGCAGAAACGAAAGAAAAATTTGGAAAAGGAAAGAAAAAGACAGCAGGGAGAGGTCAAGTTTTACTGTTTTCATTCTACGAGATGTATGCACGCTGTCTGTGCCCCATACCCTCGACGAAATTCACCTGGCTTGGTCTGCTGCAAGCTCCCACCCCCCCTCGCACAGTTGTTTTTGTCTGCTCCTTGAGCACACCAGCCTGTTTCAGGCACCTTTGGATCCCAAATGTGCACTGGGAAACAGCAAATTACAGCAGGGGCAAGGCGTGTAAGAAACACCTCTGAGACTCCGCGCCTAGTTTCTAACTTTATGTAGGTTGGGAAAATGGGAATATTAAGTCAATATCTATCAACAGACCTAACCTCCGCGCTCCGCAGGGGGTGACGGACCTAGCACACGTTTAGCTCTGACTTCCCGGTGTCCTCTGGGTTTCAGACATCACACACTAAATGATAAATGCTTATGGCAGTGAAGAGCAGCTGCTGGGAAAGTTTCAGCCATCTTCAGTTTTGGACATGGTCCCACAGGAAAACAAACAGTAATAAAGCAGAGCCACCCCTGCCTCTCTCACGGCGGGAAGCGGCGCTACGCTGATGGCATAAACCGCACGCGTTAAGCATGTTTCTGCCAGCAGGTACGGGCTTGCTTTAGCAAAAACCAGCCACGGCACTAACCCCTGGCTTTGCGCCCCCTGCCCTTCTGTTCCTTTGGTGCCCCCACCGATGTAAGACTCGGACAAAGAGGGACTGTAAATGCGTACCACCCACCTGCAAGCTGAGCCGTGATCGCCTGGAACGGGAGTTTCCTGAAGGCGTCCATGAGCGGCTGGACTTTCTCCACGCTTACGAACTCGTGTTTGCCGTAGTCCAGCTCATACACCGACAAAAACCCATTTCTAAGAATTCCTTTTATTATGACCCTGTACCACCTAAAAAGGGGAGAACAAAAGCAGACAACTTCAACTCATATTCAGACGCCGTCAAGGCACCAGAAAAATGATACATGACCAAAAGGTCTTTGCCAACATGTCTCAGGCTTCCCGGAGCTGGTATTGTCCAGACAGAAGCCAACTCTCCCGACTACGGCCTGGAAGCTTGCGGAGGCTGCAACCTCGTTCACTCCCTTAATCCCTCAGGTACCACGGGACCTCTGCCCCCTCGTTAACGATGCTGACGAAGCAGAGCTAGGCTTGCCCGGCTTCGCAGAGCTAAGCTTGCCTTCAGAGATTCGGGTTTTAAGTTAAGCATCTACTTACTGATTTTCAATTTTAGCGGCGTACAGCTTGTTTTTTTCAACGTTCACAGGTTTCTCTTCTGCCCTGCTGTAGTACAGGATCATTTCTTCCATCAGGGCTTCCAGATTATGTAGCTCTTTCCAAGGCTGGACAATAAAGTGACCTGGATGGCAGGCCACTGAGACATAGACATCCATGAGCTCACCGGTCTTCAGCGAGGGTAGAGGCGGCGGCGTATCAGTGGTAGACCCTGCACTGCCGGGTTCTCTGCCTGGATCAGACAAACTCTTCTCCAGCCTTCCACCGGTCACGCGTAGAGCTGACACAGCATCACCCGCCACCTTTGTGGAGCTAATCCCACTGGGTGTAACACTCAAGAAAACATCTTTCTGATGCTTCCACAAATCTGCATTTTTGATCTGTTGGTTGACACTGCGATCCACATCTGGGAACTTCTCTGGAGCAAACAAGTAAATGTGTGCAGTTCCCTTCGAACCATCCTGTTTAACCACCTTGGAAAACAAAATACAGTTAAACTCCCCATTAATGGCTATTAAATGCCCGCCAGACTCTGCACAGAAGACTAAGGCCCCCGACAGAAAAGCGGCCACAGTTCACTGCGTTTTATGCGATTTTCAAGGTTCTCTCAATTACGTTAACGAGGTCGTTGGATAGCAAGCAACTGGCAGTAGCTAAACAGAGCATCTGCAGCTACGCCACGAATGTAAAGCGAATGCAAAGCTCAAACTGAGACTGGTTCTGCTGAGCAGGTTCATAGAATCATGGAATGGTTTGGGTTGGAAGGGACCTTAGAGATCATCTAGTTCCCACCCCGCTGGAGTTCAATCTCAGTACTGCATGTACCCTTCCAGTGTTCAGGAGAAGGGTGGCCAGTGTCTGCAGAGGTCGAAACAACTACGTAATGCTGTTACGTACTGACACTCCATCCTTCAAAATTCCCTTTCTGTCACTACGGGAGACGAGGCCCAGTGAATGAGGGTTGGGTGAAAAATGAAGACGAAAAGAGCCGCCCGGTTTGTACCATGCATAGTTGTCAAGCACCCACATAAACCTATTTTCCTGTTTAACACCACAGCTGGTAGCAGTGCTGACAGTAAAGCACTACCACTCTGATTTGGAAACGTGTGTGGCATTTCTTTACAGATCCTTCTGTTGATTTTCTTAGCCAGGAATAAAAACCTTCCACAATTAATGCACACACCTGTCGCCCATTATTTCATCCAGCAAAAATTAGTACCAAACTCGAACTGTCCTGGCAGAGGATGTTTAGAAAAGCCAAATGCAACAGTCTTAAGTCCCAGGCTAGAGGAGCTGTGTTTTGAACAAACGTTCTCCGGTGTTAAAGCAAGCAAAAAGGTAAAGGAGAGCTACAATGCACTTTTTCAAAGTGCTGTGACAGTATCTGGAATCAGACTTTTAAGAGGACATTAGCTTTGTTTAGTCCGTAGCTAGTAAAAGGTTTCCTCTAGAAGGGCGTTTTCAGTTAACTGAACTGGATGGGATGCCCTGCAAGTGGGAATAATTTTATCTCAAAGATAACAGGAATTCCTATATGCAGCAGTGCGCACCAAATCGCACCGGGTTAGAAAAAGCAAACAAAAGGTGAAGCTGCTTTCCAAGACCAGGAGGGGGATAGGCTATGCTCCCAAGGGTCAGAAATAACGTAAGACTAGCTCAACCGTTGCACCTTTTCATGTGGTGAAACATGAACAACGGTGTTTCTTTCTTATCAGCTGGTGAAGTAACTCCAGCTGGTTATTTGGACGGGCACAGTGAAATGTGACAGCTACGCAATTCTTGAGGGAAAAGGAGAAGCTTCTAACAGGATAAAGCCAGTAAGTTTTATGCCAAATGTCACAAGAAAAGGACTTTGTGTAGAATTCATGTCCAAGAGCTGGCTACAAACTTTTAACCTCCTGTTACAAAACCAGTTGTATGAGTGGTTAAGCTTCTCGTTACTCTTCCGGCGCGCCGTCCGCACACCTACGGATCTCAGCCACACAGGCATCTGGGCCGTTTACCTTCATGCTGAATGCAGGACAGTTCATTACAGTGTCTCTGAGCCACAGCACCGCATCTGGAGTCCACATGCCAGTGTAAGGAGGCAGGTCTGCTAGGCAGCACTTCACAGCCTAAGAACACAGGGCATAATGAAGTAACGTGGATACCAGTCCGCAGGTTCCTGTTCACAGAAGCTCCACCAACGCTGACAGGTTTAGTCACGTATGACAGACGGAACGAGACAGAGCAACACGCGAAGCCGTACCAGTGTCACGTACACAACATCCTGGCAATACGCAGGACTACAGTACGGTCTACTCCTGGCCAGCGTGTGCTACGAAACACACCCCAGTGCTGAATGCTGAACGCAACAGCATTCCCTTCCGTAACCCCTGCAGTGGCAGTGATGCAAACGCTGCCCAGAGATGCAGCGTGGGTTGGCTTTAACGTGTCTCTGTACCTGGGGAGGTATTGCAATTACTTCTCTCAGGAACTGGGCTGGGATTTCTCTAAGCTCTGACACTTTCACGGTTGCAACTGTCCCGGTATCCATGAACTGCACATCAAGTGCCCGCCTAGTGTGAATAATTCTTATCTGAAAGGAGAAAGGAAGAGCATGATTTCGAGGTTAAAAAACACAACAGTGACACATGCACTGTAACAGGTTTCGGAGAAATGAAGGATTCAGGCTTAGCTGAACAAAAGGAAGAGTCATTTCTACGCGAGAAAACGGTAGCGATGCTTTGAACTCCTCTTACCTCGACACGCGCCCATTTTCCCTTGGAAGGAAACAAGCAGATTTTGCCACAGAAAGGCAGCGACACATGACACTCGGATGTCTGCTAAAAATACAGAAACAGAGAAAGCACAGAACTGTTACTAGCTGGCAGCCAACTAACCATTTCAGAAGCCACGCGTGCAGTAAGCGGTTCTGAGAGGCCAACCCTGTGTCAGACACACTCGCTTGCTGGCCTCAGAAGCATTTCGTCTTGTTTCGAGCTTCCCCAGTCGCTAAAGCTTTAACTCCAAGCTGTGAATCTTACAGGGAAACTGAGAGAATATGAAGTTACAGAGGAGAAAATCGCCCCATTTGGAAACACCGGTTATGAAACCTCTGACCATTAAGTTAATGTTCTGAGAGGCAAGAGCAGTTCAGAGCTGTGACAACTGAAGAAGCTCCTACAACACATCATGTGTTGAGATACTTAACAACCCAAATAAAGTCTCACTGGGGCGACATTCACCACGGTGATCCTAAATAACCAGGCAATGGCCACGCTGTAAAAGGCACGGAAGAAATCCGATTTGAAGACCCATCAACCCCTTCGTTTAAATCCTCAGGCAAAATAAAAGAACCTTCAGTTAAGCTGCAAAGTCAAGGTTGTGTCTTTTAACCCCTGCAGTAGGGTGATGCGTGAAGTTACCGGATGTCAAGGTCTCTCTTTGACAGCAAGAGGGACTCAACACACACCCTGCCCAGAAAAGCTGAACTTCTGAAACACCAGCTGGCCACCCGCCTTTGTGCTGCAGAACCTCTGGGGGCTCTCCGTGCCTTCCCTCAGTGCTTGGCTTGCTTGACACCGAACCCCAACAACCAAGATGTGCCCTATATATGGTATTCCCAGGTGGTGTGTTCCACAAAAGGCCTAAAGCTCAGTTTCGGCACCTAAAGACACCTCGACAGAGGAGTTCGAGGAAGCAGTTCTAGCAGGATCTTCAAGGATCCGCATGTCATAGTTTGAGTCTCTAAGGCTCAGCTGAATATTGGACAAATTAGATTATCTTAAGATTTCTTCTCCTTTGTATACATTCTCTGGAGTCGAGTTGCTGCATGTGTCTCTAAGTGGCCGGTGGAATGTCAGACTCCTCTGCCATGTGTCTATTTCAAAGCAACTTAGGACTTCTGAAAACACCTCCTGTTCATCAGTTCCAGCTGAAATCAGCCACAGCATTCAAAAGCTGAGGGCACAAGGACAAGACACGCAGCAGATCACACCAAAGCCAACGAATCCCCAAGGCAGCCAGGCTAGAAAGAACAGACCTTGGTCACCCCGCTTTTACTGTCCCTCTGCATGGTGCGCAGTGGGCCGGGGTGTTGACACACCTCACCACCTACGTAAAACGTCCAGGAAAACATACGTGGCAGTATCTCCACAGGCTTTATACCGATCTGACGCAGTTTCCAATGGAAGCTTCCCATTACGAGCCATGCTGTTCACTGCTCTAACTATTCACGGACTTCAGCCTCAGAGACAGCTTGTGGCCAACAAAGCATTGAAAGGCGTTTCATGCTGAAGGACCCCAAGAAACTAGGAAGAGAACATACAGCCTTTCTGCACAGCCTATGGCCGCCTCAGGAACGTGAACTTACGTGCGAGGAGAACGAGGGTACTCTCCGAGGAGAGGCTACATGACTTCACTGCTGCTCTCACCACAGAACCTACCTTGTAATGGAAGTAGTCTTCCAGCTTCTGGGAGACTTCAGAAAGCCTGGACAAGCCTTTAGATGGCACTTGGCAATACAGGCTTCCGTCAGAGAAGACACTGGTTACTCTGACATTTGTGTATAGTGCATCTACCTGCAACGGCAAGATTTTGACAAGAAAGGGGGAAAAAACACGCACACAAACTTAGCAAATCTCTGAGTATGGTTTTTTGTCCACCTGAGACCTGAGCAGTCAACGATTTTTAATGAGTTACGAAGGAAACAGGAAGATGGTACCTGTAGGTGCAGTTCTAGGGACTTGTCATACAATGCCTTCAGACATGTAGCATTGATGTTGACATCGTCTTCTCCGGAAGTGTCGTAGAGAACAAGAAGAGGGGTATCACTCTTTTCCAGTATTTCCACAGCAAGTATCTTGGAGCATGTCTGCAATTCCACAGTCTTTACTAGGACAGGATCATCACAGAACACTTCCAGTCCTGTAAGACAGACCATACTTCTTGTGTATCACTGTATCGGAGGGGAAAAATAATAACCAGTCTGTGTTTGCAACAGGAACGCTCCCAAGAATTGGGAAAGTTGCGCTGCACACCCCGACTTGCATTCTGCTTAGTTTCTACTTTTTTAACACAGAAAGCCATCTCCAAGAAGAAAACAAGAATTATCCTCTTCGGAGTGTCGAGGAAACGTGTAGACAAAAAAGGAAGGCGTCCCAGTATTGCACAAGCAAACAAAAGCTCATTCACAGAAATGCTACATATATAAAGTACTTTGTAAAAGTTACAAAAGCCTACCAGTTTTAGGACGGTAAGTAATTTCCAGCTGAGCCTAGGAAGTGTGCACATACGCAGATACTGAAAGGGGCAGCATCACTTTAAAATAACCAATTAAGAATTCGGGAACATTGCCCAACCTGGCCACAACAGACGTGCCTCGCTTGTGGAAAACGGTGCTGTGCCACCACACTGCCTCATGCAACAGCAAACGTTTCCTTGTGTTTCTGTGGGCCTGCACACACTGAAGGGACAGAGACATCCAAGTTCAGCACAGAGGCAACTACGCTGCGTTACAGAGATACCCAGTACCAAGGGCTTCCAGCGTCAAAGTTTCCTTAGAACACTCCCTCGCATCCTTCCTTCCTCTCCTTTCCATGCCTACCCACGTCTGCTTTGACCGGCTGTCTCGCCCCACATCTGACACAGGCAGGGTTGTCACAAACGGGTCGAAACTCCCGGGCTGAGACCCTTCAACCCGTACGCTGTGCAAGAGCAGGCGGCACGCTCAACGCTGGCTGTCTCTTACCTGCCAGTCTGCATTTTGCAGCCTGAAACGGAAGCAACTGGAACTGTTTCTGTAGCTTGTACACACTGCTGCTTTCCACGTACTCACTGAAGCCGTGATCAACATAGCACACCTGACAACGGGAAAGGGAATAGAAGCGTAAGGTCATTAATATAACCGCAAGTATGTTTTCTCGGCCTAGGGAAAATGCATTCCGTTACACGTTCCCTGCACGGCCACAGACAAATCGCTCTCACTAATTCAGTACTGTGTGATGCCAACAGCCTCGTGCTCATTTCACTGCTTGACAGGTCAGAGTTTTCAGGGAAAGCCGTCTTCCCGAGATGTCTGTAAAACCATCCTCTCCAACTCTTCCACAGAACCTCAGCTCTTAATAGCAACAGTGCTGGAAGGACACGTATTACCTCAAACCAGATGGAGAAAGGCAATAATGCAGCCATTCCTATTGATATAGTTTTTAAAGTGTTGAAAAGTCAAACACCACCTCAGGGCCTTTTTGTTTTGCCTTTTGTTTTTACAGCATTAAGAGAATAGCTTTGATTTATGCTTATGGTAACTCTGACACAAATACCAGTCAGTGCAGGAACCAGCAGGGAAAGTGCTGACTGGCAGCAAATAACCGCGGCTAAGGTGAGAGGAAGGCGGCCTTGATGGGGCTTCTTACAACTTTTTTTTAACCCCTATCATGCCAATTGTCTGCATACCGGACACTGCAAAGGGAGTCTGAACACTGAATCAGAGGATAACCAGCAAATGCTGCAATACAGCATCTGCCTTCTTATGGCTGGTAGATAGAGCTAGATCCAGAGAAATTCATGGAATGGTTTGGGCTGGAAGGCACCTTAAAGCCCCCCCAGTCCCACCCCCTGCCATGGGCAGGGACACCTTCCATAGCCCAGGGTGCTCCGAGCCTCATCCAGCCTGGCCTTGGGCACTCCCAGGGATGGGGCATCCAGAACAAATTAGAGGCAAGCTTGCTGCCAGTGTCCTTGCCACCTCCCTAAACTCCACAGTCTTCCACAAAACTGAGTTCTGACACCTCCCTCCAAGTTCCAGCTGAAGGGTATCACACTAACTTTCAGGAAAGCCTCAGTTCTGATACATGTGCTATTTAAATATTTGTGGAACGGATCACCTTTAGAAGCATGCTAAGCAGACCTGGGTAAGAAGCTGCTTAACTGAGAGAAGAAACACGAAAATGAAAAGGTATCATTAATGTTTGACTAGGCAAGAAATGACGGAAAAGACTGAAACATTTCTTTACAGCTCTATCCAATGTTCCAGTTTCATTGCAGATGGAATGAAGAGTCTACTTGGCCCAGGAAAAGTTCAACTAAGGAGCTAAATAATCTCAAAGGGGTTTAACTGAAACGCACACAGGTGAGCACAAGTACACCCTTCTCACTGTCTTGCTATGCAGTGCAGGTAACAGCACGTCAGTACAAGGCTCCAGGTGAGATCCAACTGCCAGTGAAGTTTGTTCTTCCCTTTCCCCACCTCCATCCCACTCCAAGTAGTGCTACGACACCCATTCCTCCTAAGACTACCAAAGGTACCTTTTCAGTACAAGGTGCTATGGGACCCAGCCACACACAAACCCCAAAACTCACACTATTTATGGAAAAAAGCCTGAAAGACAGTTTTGTTTTGGCAATTACATAGCTTCAAAAAGGTCTTAGTTTCTCATGTAAGTGGAAACTGAAGTCTTTCAGGGCAAGAAAGGCGAGAATGCTCGTGCGGCATATTCAGGAATTGACTGTGTATCTAAAACCCAAGACTGTTTCCTTCTCTAACCAAGTGCCAAAAGAAGTAAGTGCTTGCCTTGATTCTGTTGTCTTCTAGAGAAATTATCCGAGCACGCAACCAGGCATCTTCTTCGGCGTGTACTGCAACAAGTTGCCCCACACCCAGGGACTGAGCCAGCGACACTGTACTGTTCTGACTATAGTACGTTTTCATGTCATCTTCCATTTGTTCCTGGGCAGAAGAATAATCTTTGCCCACATACCTACAGCATTTAAAAAAAACCAAAACAAAACAAAAAAACAACAAAGCAAGAGTTATGGTGCAACTGCAAAAAGCTGAGTAAGAACCCAAGAACATATATATGAATATGAGTAGACTGTGAACTCAGTGGTCTTTAAGGTCCCTTCCAACCCAAACCGTTCTCTGATTCCACGGACACGTATGTTTTGTAGGCACACCGTACCCAGTCTCTCTTCCCGTTAACAGGGCTACAGGCAGGTAACTGTCGCGAAACCCGGACCTTGGGTTGAAAGCTCAGTGCGGTCCAGCAGCGCGCAGCCTACCGTGCTCCGCGCGGCTTTTACGGAGAGCTCTTAGACAAGGGCACCTTGGCCGCCGGAGCAGCACATGGGACCGAGCGTAAAAGAGCACGAACAGGTTACCTCTGAGCTAACCCTGTCAAACACCAGCTTCATGGGGTCCTCACGAGGGTTGACCAAAACCCAGGCACTGAAGACGACGTTACACATCAGCTGTCAAGCCAGGCGCTGTGGCTCTCGGCCTTCAGCGCGATCCTGACGCTAGGCGAACGGTTCACGCTGAGGCAGGTGGCGTTGCATAGACCTTCTTTAACGAAGTACATAAACCTAAGGAAAACTCCGCATGGGGAGTTCCGAATGCTGCGGACATGTCAAATGAGAGCAGAACAAAGGAACGCTTATTCCCTAACCTGCATTAGCAGCTAGTTTGAACTTGTTCATGGAGTGATAAACGCTGCTCGTTCCTACCGCACTGTTCAGATTCTCATCTAGGCTTACGCTGAAGGCTGGGATACGCCCGGGATTAGAGCAGGTACTGTGCTGTGACACACTGTTCTTCCTGATCACACTCCAGGGAGTCCTCATCTCCCTCAGGACAGCCCGCCACCTCACCACCCCACCGTGTGCTGGTTGTCAGAACCCAGCCCTTTTGCTTCTGCGTAGGCACGCACCTACGTCACAACGCACACCGAGCGGCACGATGGTCAATTCTGTGCCACTTGAGAGCTTACTTCTTAACACTCGTTTCATAGACATACTGAACAGACAGCGGGAGTATCTTAACGGAAAAGTAGAAGGCTCCGGCAGAATTTCCTGCCCCACTGACTATTTTCCAGCCACAGGTGAGCATCTTACCAGAGATTATTTTGGCTGCTCAAAGTCAATGGGATAATGATTTTTCAGATTATTTAGAAAA